ACCCGGTGATGACCCCGTCGGTAATGTGTATCTGTGTGTATGTGTATGGGTTGTAGTTTAGTCTTGCTTTGGTTTTACTAGCGAGTTAGGGCACGCGTGCAAAGACGGGTTGTTAAACATGTATTATACAAAAAAAAAATACGCATATCCAAATGTGTGAGATGACTAAAACTGTGATGAGTTAATAAAGAGCGGACTGTTTTTTGGTGTCTCCAACGATGCTACGATGGGAGTACAGGAAAAATTTTTTTTTTGAAGAAATGTGATTTTTTTAAATACAGTATGTGTCTACAATAATAAACAACAATATATTACGCGTAAAGCAAACAGCCCCAAACTCTAATTACAGCGTTGCAAGTTAACTGAGCATTTATCGCGGAGACACCACTGGTATCGCTCGACCAGTTTATTTATATATCAGTACATAGAATAATATAATAAATTACAAATAAAGATCTCCGCGAAAAAAAGGAGTCTAGAATATATTTCCCACATAGCATTTTTAACGTGAAAAAGATTGAATAAGGACTTTTAAAACTTTACAACATTATTAATGTTTAATTATAAGTATAATTTTTGATTTAATTAATATAATAGTATAAGTTCGACAATTATTAAAAATTAAAAATCAAGTACTTATTAAAGAATCATTAAATTAAAAACCAAGGTATATTTTTTATGTTAAAAATAAATATTAAATAAAATAAAATTTACTTTTATATTTCATAATAATTTTCAATTACTAACAATAATATTTTTTTATATTAAGATACGTATAATTCTATAAAAAATTAAATTAAGTTTTATTATTTTTTATAAACGGTGATGTAATTATTAAAAAAAAATTTTAAAATTTTCACCAAATATATGCTATATGTGATAGCCTAGATAAAATTCTTACCTTTAAGTTTGATAATAGATAAATTTACTCTTATATTAAAGCTGACAACATAAAATAGATTTTGTTGAACAAAATTTTGCCATGTTGTATGTATGTATAACGGAGATAACACATGCGGGTATAGCGTCCTTTTAATATGGTACCAAGTTCTTTTAATCTTTTTTCATCGTCCTCATTTGTCCAAGTTCGGTAGTATTTAATATTTACTATTATTTTCATTTAATTTAATTTTGTACAAACCGCAGCAAACTCATATTCAGGTACCTTATATTCTAATATCATCAAAGATGCGCCGTACACAGCAATAAACATTTGTAGTTCTCACTTATCGTAAAAATATCAGGAAAATGTGCAATAATTAATTTATTAATTATTGTTATTTATTTCATAATTTAATTATATTATTCATCGAAACACTTTATTTTGATGATTTTTTTTTATCGGATTCATTCTCAGGGTTTTTTCTGATTATACCTACTCTCGTACATATACTGTATACCTCTGTGTAATTAAAATCGTTATACTTTTTTCCTAATTTGCTTCTGATGAGGGGAGAAGACTCGTAGTTTGGCTTGGATCGCGATCGCTACAGTCGATGCCCCACGATCGTATTTTTGGACTTCCGTCAAAATATAGGGGAAAAAAAGAGGTCGACCCACTAAACGGAATCGTTTTATTAACCTACCGTGTGGCATATATTATACTTGGTCATGCGTTGTATAAATATATATATATATATGTTTACTATGTGAAATTTATTTCTATAACATTTATTGTTTGTTGTCGTTAACGTTCGTACGAAGTTGGCGCGTGGCTGCTATCGCAGCTGCAGCAATAATGTATTGTCCGTCCGTCTGGTTTTAAATATTTCATATTAATAATAACGCCACCGCCGCATTTCGACTTTGTTTGGTTTTAAACTTTCTAGAGGATTTGTAAACACCGCCCTAAAATCTAAATTGGGGTACGTTTAGCTGTTTAGGAATTATTTATGTAATGCGTATTAATATATGACGCAGTCGAGTGTTCTTCCGAAACCCCGGTATTAGTGAATCGATTCCTTCGGCAATTAAATATTTATGTACGTGTTGAACGACGGCTTTAATAACTATTCGCAAACGACGGTATTATAGATTGTATAGCTGATATAGTAATATTAAATTAATTACTGCGTTTTATTGCGGCGGTGGCCGTTAACACATTAATTATATTACTATTTCTATATACGAGCTTATCATATGCATATGCGACGTATATAATATACGAGTATATTGTATTATAAATATGTAACACACGCGCACGTCATATTCCGAGCGAAATGTGTTTTTTTTTTTTCCAGTACTCGTGCAGGTCTCTGGGGAAACAACTTATTATACAAAACAAATATATTTACCGACGTCACAATATTATTAAATGTTAATCATTATAATCATTATATTAATATGTATGATGTTTCGGAGTTTTTTTTTTTTTGTATTTTCATGCATTATCGTTACGTGTTCAATAATATAATATGTATAACGTCCGTTTGTAATTTAGGGAGCTGATACGAGACATGGCCACTAATTTTTTTTAGTGAACTTTTATATATTCTGCCGACATCGAACATGTGTCTGCTAATGCTAAATAATTATATAAAAACTGCTGCAGCGATAACGCGATAAACACGCTGCCGCATCTCTTTTCGGTTGTAAATTTTAAAAAAAAACTGCCATAAAATGTTATATAACAACTAATATTATGTATGTTTTATGTTACGTATATATATGCGGGTAAGACTTTATATCCGTCAAACGTTCGATTCAGCGTCTGTCCCAGATACACACGTATTATATTATCATGTATAATATTTTTTTTATTTTTTGTTTATTAATTGTGTTCAAAATGTTTCAACATAATATAACATACTAATACTAGTTTGATAAATTGTTTACATTACATACAATGTAATTCACCAAACGTGCCCACCCCTTTTTTTTCTCTCCAATAATGCAATTATTCAAAATTTAATATTTAAAGTATTTAAATGTAATTAAAGATCATCATTTTCAAGTTATTGAAATTTTTTGTACTACTTAAAAAGTGTTTTGTGGAGATACAAACTTCTGTTTTGCTAATTGACAATCTTTCCCTCCCCCAATATAGTAATTTATTTAGGTTTTTGAAAATTTTGACGTATTAAAATAAAATTTTGAACTAGTAGTTTTTGAGTTATATAACTTTGTGTACTAAACATAAAATGTCTATCATAACACATAGGTTTGAAAAATATAGTGATTAGGAAATGTTAGTTATTAATATTAATCAATATTAATAATTTATAAAAATAGTCCAATTATAACAATTATAATAAATACTAGATCCGATATTGCGTTTATTTTATATTTTTATAAAACCATTATTAGGACAATTATTCTTAGTATAAACATTTTAATAATTGAAAAATTACTCGTTATAATTCTGAAATAGGTATATGTACGTTAAAATTTTTTTTTTTTAATTATTCGCTAAATAATTCACAGTAATAAAGGAAAATTTTCATTTTAAAAACAGAAGTTTATGTCACCACAAAACAGTTTTGATTAGATAAACAATTTAAAGAATTTGAAAATATAGGCTTTATTAGTATCTATGTTTAAAAATTCCAAAAATTAGAATTCGAATAAATTCATTATTAAATAAAAAATTGGTGGTGAGCATGCTTGATTAATCACTGTATCTATAGTGTAATTTGTAACTATTTATTACTTGATATATTAGTAAAGAGTAATGATTTTAGTGAGTAGTAATTTCTGATTAGACTATGGGATTTTAAAATTCATCAGTAGGAAATTGTTTTGAAGGGTTTGGATTTTTAAGAAGCTGATGCCAATTTACTAAACTATACTAGATGATCATAAGTTGGATTATTGAGGTGTGTAGTAGGAGTGAAAATTATATTTTGAATGTTGATTATTAGTTTACTAAGGGGTAGATATTATGGTATAGGCGTATAGCATTGTGTGGGTTGTTATGTTGTTATGATTTTCACATTATACATCCGCGTTCAATCGATGACGGAAGAACTTTGTGTCCTACTGCAGGTGTTTGGAACATACCTAAAATCTTTTTTGCAAATACTATTCGTTAAATGGAAACTAACGTGACTTGGTCTGACCGTGTATAATAAAAATTTAAAATATATAAAAAAATTTTCTACTGGGTTTTTTTTAAATATTTTTTCCGGGTTGACCACTTACATATTTTTATCGTCATCTTGCACTCATCCGGCGTCCTTAAGCGAAATCGCAGTGCGTCGCAATTTTACATCCTACATGAGGTATAAATTATAAATACCTACTATTTCCCTTGACTGCACATTATAAAGTATATTGTGGCTAGATAACGACGACGACATATTTCGTATGCGTGCGAGTGTCTGCCCCTTTCTCTCTCTCTCTTTTTTTGTCATTCTCACATTCTCTTTCACTCGCTCTGTCTCGTCTCTCGCCAATAGCTCCATCCAGACAGTGTTGTCCATAATATAATATATTGTGCTCACTAGACTGTTTTCACGAGATTGTACGTGTGCCGATCATTGTTAACAACGCGTTGTCTAGAAAATTAATAGATATGTATCATTATATCATTGTTTTTTATATGTATTTTAATCGCATATGATCCACGTCTCGTCTCCGACCCAGTCCTGGTCTGCACATCGTTCTCCACGCACACGAAACGTGTTAACGATATAATATTGTAAATTATGATAGTGCACGAATAATAATATTATTATATTTGTAACAGCCGCTTGTTGTTATTCTCTTATTGTGTTTTTATACACATGAACAACAATATTGTTGTATTGGAGGAAATGCACATTACACTCTTACTTGTTAACTGCATATATTGATAGGTATACTTGTCAATTGCAAGGCAAGAGAGAGAAAGAGAAAGAAAAGAAAACACGGCATGTTGTTTATCGATTGTACGTTATTTGTAATTAATATTAGTGAAATAATAATATTATAATGATATGACATTTTAAAAAATATACCTAAATTATAATGAGAATTATTTCTCTATCGATTTTTACCCGTATGCTTCTTTATTGTTACAGCTGGGAACCAAAACAGCACGACTGCGGCCACCTGAGAAGTGAGTACTTACAACAATTAATACTATAAGACATTTGTTTTAAACGGCATGCTGCTTGACACTCGAACGTAACAATGTAGGTACATATTAAACCATACGATAGTTGTTTTAAGTGGCTATGTATATTATAATGTCGCGAACGGGCGGAAATCGTATTTTGTAAACATTGTGTCCACATGTATAAAGTGACGTGAAAAATTATAACAAAAAGTTATGTAAAACAAATGCCACTTTGAATGCACTGTTCGAAGAGACAATTTGAGTTAATCACATTTATGCATAAATAATGTGGTTTCGGTTTGTTTAAAACTATAAATTATGATATATATATATATAATACATTCATGTATAATATATGTATAATTGTCATGGGACGCGATATTGTTACCCCTATATTTGTTACAAATTAGGTTTCTTTTAAAATTTTAAACAGTTTTCCACTGCACAAATTATTTTTTGACGTTAGGTAGATATAGAACAGTAAAATGACTGTTTGAGTGGTCTTTAAAATGCTAATAACGCTAATAACTTCTTAAGCTTTTATAAACGAGAGTCACTATTTTTGAGCTTTTTAAATCGATATTATTTATTTTTTTTTTTTTTTAATATAATTGAAAGATTATTTTGTAACTTGAGAGCCTTAATGCCTCTATTATCAAGTTAATATTATATATATATTTTAATTCTTTTTGCTCAAAGTTAAAAATATTAAAATATTTATTACCATTCAGTTTATTTGTAGTTGTCAGTGAGCTTATATTTATAATAAGAAGCAGGATAAAACGTCCTGTAATGGCCTGTATGCGTAGATCGATTATCACAATTTTATAAGTCCGTGATGCGCGTGATTCTTAAGACGTCAATGATTATATTTGTACATGATTTTAATAGATGTTGATAAGTATATGTATAATGTACGATTGTTTTATGTGAAAGTGTATTCCTGTATAGGAAATACGATCTCGTCTCGATAGACGTGGTATTATAGTGGTGTGTATTTTCTCGTTATGGCAGTATATTTATTATCATATATTCATTATGTTTGTATAGAGGGTTATGCAGTTTCTTAAGTGGTATAGGTACTTACATTTACTTAATCTTAGTGTGTATTATATATAGAGAGAGAGGAAATATTTGAGGTACTTTTTAATAGGGCTGACAAGAATAAGATAACATAAGAGAAGCATACGTGTTTGTTGAGCTTGTGGTTGAGCGGAAGAAGCGAATGGTGAAGGAGGTTGAGGGGATTTATAACAAAAGACGAAACTTTTCTACCTAAGTCGCCCGCCGTCTAGAAAACCATGGACTTACAATTCCTCCATAAAAGTCGTGCGAACTCGATCGTCTCATTCGTGTGTATACAAACGCACTTTTAAAACAATATATACCCGGAACGGGATCTTACGGTTATTATTATAAGTATTATGTATACCATAGCGGATAAACGAGTAAGACTCGAGTCTGTTTAAGTCTTGGTAGTGTGCTCCTCGCTGTAGGGTCTGTTTAGGGGAGAGGGTATGGATAGATGTATATAGTTTTCTCAGATAAGTCTTCTGCGAGGGCTGATTTTCGTTATGCTATTTATTTATCGAGATCAATTGCAGTGGTTAACAGATGTTTACTCAAAATCCGCATTTAATCGCTATTAAAATTACATATTATTGACTGAATAAAGTATTTAATATTTTATATATGTATGTGTCTAGACATTTGAACATTCTGCGTAGGACATATTAAAACATAATTTATAATATACATATAAAAACTAAGAAATTGTTTTACATAATTATTAAAATTAAAAATATTTTTTTTTAATAACCTATTCACTAAACTAATTTCAGTAATTTGTTTCAAATATTTGTTTGCTTTTAAGTCGTTGTGTACATAATTATGTGTGGTTGAATTTGTGTAATAGTCGCAAAAGTGTTACTTTTTTTAAGACCTTCCATACGAATATCCAAATTTTTTTAATTGTTTAATACCATCTCTATATTTATATTAACTTAATAAGTATAAAATTATCTTAGCATATTCCAAAATCTCCTTTTACAAACATTAATTATTGTTCGTCTAGACGTCTAGTTCCTAGTTTAGTTTCTAAACACATATTCCATCAACACGAAAGAAGTGTAGGTGGAGTTCATACGAGTAGTATAAATAATTTTCAGATATAATATCTCCATTGAGTGATTTGAATCTGAATAATCCAATATGTTTTCTGCATTAAGAGACTTTTTAATTTTGATGAGGAGAATGTCTGAGGGGTTTATACCAATATTCTACATAGATACGTAGTTTGAAGTATAATTACTGATTATCACAAATTCCTATTAGTGATAAGCCAATTATTCAAAACCTTTGTCGTCCGAGAAAAATCAAAGAGACAAATATTATGACAATTATTGTTATGTGTATAATGCATATTATAATATTATAGGTGCATTCAGTTTACGATGTTGTATTATGTATGTTATTGACGAGTAACGATGAATGCAACTGTGACACGCGCTACACGATTAATTGTTCGTCGATAAGAACCGCCGCAGCCCGCGAATGCTCGTTAATTATAATATTATATTATAATATATAATTATAGTTTTTTATTATCATCGCTTTAATTTCTCTTTCTTAAATTTAGAGACAATGTTCAATAAAATATTATGTTATTATGATGTGTATATACGTATGTATATATAATATAATGTCTATGCCTAGTAACCTATACACATATAATAATATGGTCTTGCACGATATTACACTCGTATACGATAATAATATTATGACTCATTGCAGACGGCGTGGGACATAATATTTTACAATAATCATTTTTATACTTTCTAGATTTTAAAATTTTTTTTTTATTCATTGCCGACTAATCACAGTCCGAGATATAGTGGGGTGAAAATTTTGTGCACTTTCACTTTTAGCACCGATAGACAACAATATTTACTGACCTCAAATTGTAATATAATAAATGTCGAAATATGCACACGTTTCTGCGTGCATGTTTCATCGTCGGGCCATTATACCCATCAACAGAAATTACGTATATAGATATAAATACAACATGTCCATAGTATGAGTCGAGATGACCAGAGATCGTAAGTTGGTGATTCTCCAACATGAGACGTTGAAAATATTAGGCGAAATTCGTGTCTCATCCGTTCTATATGCGGAAAAAATTCAGTGTCACATCTGCGCGAGCATCAGTATTCATATTATACGAAGTATTCAAACAAATTAATTTAATATTCGTACCGTTTATTTCACGATACCAATACAATTCTATTGAATAATATCAGATGTTGTTTTTATAGCTAGCTAGGTAATTATATGTTATTTGACCTCTCGATAGCTGCTGGGGAAAAATAGTTTTAACGGATTTATAAAAAATAATTTAAATTTTTTTATTCAAGAGCGATTATAGAAACATATTTTATTACTTTCAGCATACAAGAGAATGATTTTTATATTTTTCTTTATAGTTTATATTATTCATATCGTAGGTACACAATTTTTTCAAGTTAGGTAATAAGTACTTGCGTGATAGTAAAATTACATACTATTAGCTTGCGTTTAAAAAATACGTGTGAACATTAAAAATTAATTATTTTAATCGACACACGTGTGCTTTGTTCTGGTTTGCTAAAAGGTTAATACTAATTTAGCAATAAATTCCTATTTTGATATTTATATTATCAATATCCGAAAGTGTTATTAATTTATGGCTTCTTCAATCAAATTATTTTTCTTCTATTGTTGTAAATTAGCTCATACTCTTTTTGTGCTGCAGATACAGATTGTATATTTATAATAAATTAAATATATATATATATTATCGATTTAAAGAAATTGATTACATTTTTATTTAATTGAAACTTTCTGAATTTAAATTGTTAGCTTTAAATAGAATATTTAACTATCGTGTATACATAAAATGATTAAATATTACCTTTGAACTAACATGTTAAAAATATTTTTCATTTATTTGTAACAAAAACAAATTGTTATTGATTGCATAACATTATAATATATTCAATGAATGACGATTTCGCATAATGTAATTTCGCATTTTAAAAGAAAAAAGTTTATTACTATAAATAAAAATATTTATTGTATAAATTCTACACTGTAGGGTGTAGCGTAAATGTCGTGGACACCCCACTAATTGTGTCGATTGAGCAATTTAATTTATAATTCAAAATATTATGATAAAATATATTGTGCAATTAAATGATTGAAAACATAGTAAAATCTTTTCTTAACCTCTAATAGCTCTAATTAATAAATAATTTAGAAAATTAAAACCTTGAAATACATTATGTTTAATTAAAATAAATACATTTCAATCTATATTCTAAAAATATTTTTGACAATAATAAATAATAATTGGTAAAGTACGTATAACTATATTCTGTGTTATTTTTTATTCAGTGTAGGCTGTTCAGTATCCATTATTTTCAATTAACTAAACTCATCTTTTCCAAATTAATTACTTCATTGAAATTAGAAGATGAATGAAGATATTTGATTTGATTTTATAACTTACGAATATTTTATACCCTTTCTATGAATATGGATTGTTACATTTTTTTAAAGTTTTAGCTACCTTTAATTGTTTACCCAAACATAGAAGCTATGTGAGAAATATTTTAATGTATACTTGATTTAAGACCTAAAATATTGTTAATTCAAGAAAAAATTCAGTCAATAGCTTTTGAAAAATAAATATATTTAATTGACACTGTAGGTAAGTGTATTTTAACCAGATATTCTAACTTAAATTGTTAAATGGTGATCGCCGATCACAGTAGATGGGTAAGTAATAATGTGTTACAACTTACAATTTATAAGTGATCCTATCGAACAAAAAAAGTAGTGAAATAAACTGATAAGTGATACTTATAAGTTATAAGATAAAATGGGTATAAATGTATAATTCCATAAACAGTGCTAGTATTGTAATATAATACGCTAATTATTTTTACTGAAAAATAATT